CTTGGAGAATCACAAAACAAAATCCCAAAAGATAAAAGGTAGAAACACTAAAAATTATACCTAGCAAGTGAGACATTAAAGAGCTACAGACTGAAGACAGGTGTAATAGCTCATTTCTATAAGCCCAGATACTCAGGAGGCAGCAATTGAAAAGATCATGGTCCCAAGGCCAGCTCCAGCAAAAAATTAGCAAGACCCCCAAGAGCTACAAAATATCATTCTTACTTTTTCAACCATCTATAAATGCAAAGTCTAATTGTACCTCCCAGAGCATACAAAAATAGACACACGCTACATTTATGTAGGAGCTGGTCTTTGCCAAATCTTGCTGTAGATTTCAGATATCCTAACACTACATTCTCAACCCTGATAAACAATCCTGGTATTGTATTTCTCGCAATTTCATGCTTTCTTATTATTGTATCTTTATATTAGGTGTATTAAGTAACATCAACTCAAGAGATACACCTATATGTCAATATGAGTTGAAATATATATCTGACAAGTGTACCTAAAGTAATTCTTAAGTGAATAACGTTAGCATGTGTCTTCTAACTAAGGACATTATATATCCCATGTTTTATAAACGCTAATCATGGAATTCTAAATGAAATTGCTAGTTATTGATGAAAAGTAATGGCAATTTGGATTATCCAAATCTTCCTAAAGGACAACAGGCTCAGGAAGGGAAGGCAATGAAATTTCCTCATATTTAACTAAACAGAACTTAGCAATTAATAACACAGATTCTATCAATATAGAGACTGGAGACTTGGGAAGAAGGGAAAACCCAGAATCTATTAATTTTTTTTTGCCTTTTTCTCTTTCAGTGGACAACTCTGGAAAAATCAGTAAGTTTGGATCATTTCCTTACCTTTCCTGTTTCTACAATTAGAACCTTACAGACTGTGTTCACAAATTTTCTTGAGTTACAAATTAGTCTATCATAAAGTAGTCATCTTTTTTTTTTCAGTCCTGGGGCTTGAATTCTGGGCTTGGGCACTGTCCCTCAGCTCTTTAGCTCAAGGTGAATGCTCTACCACTTGAGCCACAGCACCACTTCTGGTTTTCTAGTGGTTTATTGGAGATAAGAGTCTCATGGACTTTTCCTGCCTGGGCTGGCTTTGAACCACGATCCTCAGATCTCAAGCTCCTGAGTAGCTAGGATTATAGGCATGAGCCACTGGTGCCCGGCTTAGTAGTCATCATTTCTTAAATGATTTCCTCTCATTTTGGTTTTGATTCCCTCTTCACCTATTTTTCTTGTGTAACAAAGTATAGTTGCTTTCCCTTGGTTCCTAGCTCTGTATCACCAATAATCATCAATAGCAGAAATCACCAATTAGTCAACCAAAATGACTAGTTAGCAATTGGGAACTTTACATTTAAAAAGAAAATGCTAGGGGCTGAGAAGGTGGCTCAGTGGTAGAGTACTTGCCTTGCATGCATGAGCCCCTAGGTTTGATTCCTCAGCACCATATAAGCAGAAAAAGCTGAAAGTGGTGCTGTGGCTCAAGTGGTAGAGCACTAGCCTTGAGCTGAAGAGCTGAGGGACAGTGCCCAGGCCCAGAATTCAGGCCCCATGACCGGCCCAAAAAAAAAGAAAGAAAGAAAGAAAGAAAATGTTCAGAGATTTGACAGCAACTAAGTACCAAGACATGATGATTTTGACATTTTTCAAACTAATTAGAATAGGTTAAAATTTTGACTCATAAAAGAATTTTATGTAGTGTGTAGTCCTAGCTACTCAGGAAGCTGAGATCTAAGGATCATGGTGCAAAGCCAGCCCGGACAGCAAAGTCTATAAGACCCTTATCTCCAAATAAAACAGAAGGTACTGTGGCTCAAAGCTGTAGAGCTTTGGTCTTGAGTGAAAAGAGCTCAGAAACAGCACCTAGACCCTAAGTTCAAACCCCATGACCAACAACAAGAAAAGACAAAAAGGTAGGATGTAAGTCAAGAGCAGTGGTTCATGCCTGTGGAATCCTAGCTACTCAGGAGACCGAGATCTGAGGATCTCAGTTCAAAGCCAGACAGGGCAGGAAAGTTAGAGACATTCTTACCTCCAATTAATCATCAAAAATGCTGGAAGTAGAGATGTAGCTCAAGCGGCAGAGTGCTAGCCTTCAACAAAAAAGCTCAGGGAGCAGGGCACCAGTGGCTCATACCTATAACCCCTAGCTACTCAGAAGACTGAGATCTGAGGATCAGAGTTCAAAGCCAGCCTGAGCAGAAAAGTCCATGAGACTCTTATCTTCAATTAACCACCAGAAAACCAGAAGTGGTTCTGTGGCTCAAAGTGGTAGAGCACTATCCCTGAGCTGAAGAGCTCAGGGACAGTGCTCAGGCCCAGAGTTCAAGCCTCAGACCCCTCCCACTCCACCCCTCCCCCAAAAAAGTAGGAACTGTAATTTTGGGATTTTAGTAGAATTCATCTTACTTATCCAAGGATTAAAGATTACCCTCTCTGCAGAGTAGAATAGGAAACATTGGCCTGTAACAGTCCTGAAGATAATTTGTCTTCCATGTAGATTCTATTTCTGAATTAACCTAAAAAGAATATTATTGGAAAGTGGGTTCTCTTTAAGTTGGAAAATGCTCACTGATCTTTCTTTTGTGTTTTACTTTTAGCACTATTTCCAATGGGTAAGTTCCTTAACAATTATGAACTAGGATATTTACATTGCTTGTCATTGTTTTCTGAACTGGACATTTCTACTCCTACAGTACAGGCATGTGCATTAAGGTCATTTTAAATATCCCTTTTATCTGGAATCACCGGAGTTTTCTGTATGTGGGTGCCAGTACTGGGCCTTGAACTCATGGGCACCATGCTCTTGTTTAGCTTTTTCTTTTTTGGGGGGGGGTCCGGTCGTGGGGCCTGAACTCTGGACCTAGGCGCCGTCCCTCAGGTCTTCAGCTCAAGGCTATCAGTGCTCTAACACTTGAGCCATAGCACCAATTCCAGCTTTTTTTTCTGCTTATGTGGTGCTGAGGAATCGAACCCAGGGCCTCATGCATGCAAGGCAAGTGCTCTACCACTGAGCCATCTTCCCAGCTCTTGCTTAGCTGTTTCGTGCATGGCTGACCACTTGAGCCACACCTCTACTTCCTCATCTAGCACTTAAGTACATTCTTTGACAAAAAAAAATTATTGTTATTATAAAGGTAATCTACAAATTAAATACATAGTTTTAGAGATACTGCTGCAGAGAAAATGAAGTTCATAGGAAAGGATTGTTGATATCTTCCAGCCATCTTATTCTAGACTTTAAAAAGAATCTCATTGGCTCCCAGTAATATGCAATGAAAGAAAGATTGGTTTCTGAGTTCTGATAGCTTTTTTGCTAGGAATTTAGAATTCATTTTCAAGTAAAGTCTTCTGGATCACACTGTTAGGGGAAAAATCTAGTTGCATTCCTTTTTTTGAAGAACAGTAGGGATGGAGTACCTGCTATATATTGTATATTGGGCTATGCACCTTCAAAACAGTATTTCTTTTTTTTCCCCCTCAGGATTAGCACTTTGCCACTTTCAGCCACAGCTCCATTTCTGGTTCACAGCTCCACTTCTGGTGTTCTGGTGGTTAATTGGAGATAAGGGTGTCTCAGGGGCTTTTCTGCCTTGGCTGGCTTTGAAATGCAATCCTCAGATCTCAGCCTCCTGAGTGGCTAGAATTACAGGCATGAGCCACGACACCTTGCTCTTACTCTTTTTATAGTCCTATCTGGTAGCTATTATTTTTTGAGTGCCTGTCCTGGGGCTTAAACTCAGGGCCTGTATGTTGTCCGTGAGTTCTTTTGCTCAATGGCACTCTACCACAGCTCTACTTTCAAGTTTTTTTGGTACTTAAGTAGAGATAAGAGTCTCATGAACATTTTTGTCTAAGCTGGCTTAGAACCACGCTCCTTAGAGCTAAGCTTCCAGAGTAGCTAGGATTACAGGCATGAACCACCAGCACCCACCTGTGGCAGCTATTATTTCCAACTTTACAGATCTGGAAACTGGCTCAGATGTGGTGTAAAGAGTTGGAAAATAGTGTTAAACCTTCCTGGCACTGAAGTACAGATTTCTATACCAATACCTTGTCTCCTACATTATGTCATAATGCTTTTTTGTGACTAGTCATGAAACCTTATCTAGTAATCAACTATTTATAAATATAAATATGTGTCTACTAGAGATATTGACTAATGTTCACAAAAGAATTCTTCTTAAAATAAATAGGTTCCCATTTAGATCAATCTTTGTGTGTGTGTGTGTGTGTGTGTGTGTGTGTATGTGTATGCACATGTGTGCTAGTAATAGAGCTTGAACTCAGGGCCTGGGCCCAATCCTTTGGCTTTTTTTTTTTTTTTTGCTCAAGGCTAGTGCTCTACCACTTGAGCCTTTGCTCTACTCCCAGATTTTTGGTGGTTACTTGGAAACAAGAGTCTCATGAACTTTGCTGCCTAAGCTGATTTCCAGATCTCAGCCTCCTGAGTAACTAGGATTACAGGTGTGAGTCAGTAGTGTCTGGCTGACTTTTCCTTTTCTTTTTTTTTAATTTTTTTTGGGGTCCGGTCGTGGGGCCTGAACTCTGGGCCTGGGCACTGTCCCTCAGCCCTTCAGCTCAAGGTTAGCACTCTACCACTTGAGCCACAGCACCACTTCGGGCATTTTTTGTTTTTGCTTATGTGGTGCTGAGGAATCGAACCCAGGGTTTCATGCATGCAAGGCAAGCGCTCTACCACTGAGCCACCTTCCCAGCCCCATGATTTTTCATTTTCTAAATTCAGGTTTTTCCCTATGGGGCTTATTTAAAGCATGACCTTCAAGAAACTATATTAAAAAAATGGAGTCTAATTTTTTAAATATACATGTCT